TTTGAGTAAATTTAATTTAAAAAATTGTCCCAAAATGTCCCAAAATGTCCCAACTCATGTCCCAACTGTCCCATGTATAACACTGGCTTTACTTGCAGCTGATAATCAAGATATTAGAAACCTTTACTCTAATAAAGAAGATTGAATTACAATATATATAAGTAAAATTTAAAAATTATAAACTAAGGTCATATAAAGTCAATTTATTATTTTTATAATATCAAACTCAATCACTTGCTGAGTTATAAAACCAAAGAATTAATTTTATATAACCTTTTCATAAATACTATATTCTAATTAAATAATTTTATTATTAATAGGATACTCTTCTGGTTCTTGAACTATTAGAAAAAGCCACTGTACACCTTTCAGCATCATCATATCCAACTTTAAGTGATACTTGGTTTATCTTCGAAGAAATTCAAAATTTTATAGCAGAAAATAATTTTATACAATATGAACTAGCAGAATTAATATTGCAAAAGCTTTTAGAATATTGAGATGTAATGGATCAGTTCTCAATTACCTTAGCTATTTTAGACCCTAAAACCAAGCTTTTAATCTTTTCAAAAAAATCAATACCAAATGCACATAAGCAAATTAATACTATCTTTAATATATACTTAAGAGATATAGTTGGCACAACCACATTATCTTCATGTAGACCAAATTCTAACTTCAACAATACTTAATAATACTTTTTACAATTTTGATGTCATGAAACAGTATACAATAATAAATTCACAAGCTCAGATATTTCATCATCAGAATTAAACTGATATCTTACATTACCAGAATATGAAGAAACAAACACTCTTTTGTGGTGATATGCAAATATTAAGAAATACCTGGTTTTAAATACAATGGCTCAAACTATCTTTCAATTTAGGCCACTAATGTTGAATTTAAATAGGCATTTTCCATTGCTAGAAACACGATTACTAAAACACAGAATTATTTATTATTGCAAACTGCAAAAGCAACTCTTTGCATGAAGAGTTTGATAATTAATAAAGTAGGAGAATAAAATTCTATCCTCAAAAATTTTTTATTACTTATAATAAGTCTTGAATGTTTGTAGTTTCTTCTAAATAGTATTATTTATATTGTAAAAGCAACAAGTCTGATTTATCATATAAAAAATATATATAGAAATAGATAATAAGATATATCAATATAGTTTTACTAAACTAATTATTAGTAATAAAGATTAAATTAGATAGCTCACATGATTTATCCTGTTTTTGAGATTACAAATTATTCAAATTTTCTCTTTTCTTCACTTTCTATCAGCTTCACTATAAAGCTCTATTCAAATAAATAAATAAAACATATTAACAATTGCTACATTTCAAAAGTAGTTATATATTAAGTAGATACATATATTGTAAAAAGCAAGATCATTTTTTTCAAAAAAGTTGCTGTAGTAATTGATAGTATGAATTTCAAGAATTTCAGAAATTCCCAGAATTCAAATAATTCAAAGAATTGTGGAAAAAATAAAAATGACAGAAATAATTAGAGTAATTAAAATAGTTAGAATAGTTAGAATAGTTAGAATTCATGTTATTCCTGTATAAGTAAAAATCTATTATATAAGTGAAGAAGTAAAGCTAAGGTAGGTTTAAGTTGTTGTATATGTTCTAATATATAAAAAGTAGAATTTCATCATATTTCTATATCTATAATAGGCTAAAAATCCGGTATCTCTGTTAAGTTACAAAAATAATAGAGTTCATAACAAAGAGATAATGAATTTGTTATTTTAATTATTAATGCTCAGGCTTTATTAATAGAGTTACTAATTAATTTTAAGTCTTCTTTTACATCTAAGTTTAAAATATGCGAGGCGCAGTAATAATATGAAAAGGTCATTAAAGAAAATACTAAATTAAGACTTGCAGAAATTTTATTTCCACATATCACCATTGTTGATACATTGTTTGTGATAAGTGCAATAACCTTATTACGAATATTGAACTCATCTAAAGTTGTTTTCACAATATTAACATTTGAATAACTAATATCAAATAGAATTATATCAAGCAAAAAATTTTGTAACTGCCAGTCAGAATCAATATAATAAACTATAAGTTCCAGAAAAGCCTTTCAATTAATAGATGAGATCTATATATTAGCTGTTATTGAATATTTTCCAAGAATATTACTAAATATATTTTTAATTTTAGATCTTCAAATATTAAACTCATTAATTATTAAGTTCTTTATTTGATATTATTCAGGAATTATGTAGCGCAGGCAAAAATGGTTAACAAATGAACAAAAATAATTATTGTCAACAACTGTAAATGGTTAAAGATCACATATAAGCCATTCTAAAAGGTATTTTGTATATTTCTGTTAGGTCTGTAAATCAAATGAAATTATTTTCTTTGCAGCTTGTTGACTATGTTTGTTTGTAGAAACTTTTAATTTATGTTCTATTAAAAGATGAGACCTTAAAGTTAATATACTAGTTGTTAATTTGTATTTTTTTTCAGGAATACAGTTTTTATAAACATTGTGATTAGGTGTATTTAGAGGTTTTTTATAAAAATGTTTCCACATAGCATTTTCTCTTGATGCTTTAGATAATAGTAAGGAATCATGAGAAACAGTTGTTTCTGATTTTTTATCATAAAACATTCATTCATTACATAATGTTTGTTTATTACAAGATATTTAATCATCACAAGATATTTGTTTATTACATGATATCGATTTATCAATATAATTAGTATTTAAGTTTGCATCTAAATCCTCATTAGAACTGGGATCTACAAATTCTATTTCATTTATTTTTGCAAAACAAAATAAAACTTATGGTTGTTTATACTTATATTTATAACTTTAAAAGCACAGCATTTTTTAACAATATCTCACATTTAAAGTCTTTGAACTTATGAAATTTCAAAGATTTTTTATTGTTTAAACAATAAAAAATCTCTGAAATCTTATAAGTCTATACACTTATATTTTATTAATATATTTATCACAAAGTTTGAGTTATATAATCTGCATCACCAAAACATCATTAATAACATTCGGCATTACAATAGATTTTGATGATGATAATATAGTGGATTTATTATGTGACCTGAATTTTAGATGCCATTCTGGCTAATTTGATAATTTAACTTGAAATTTGCATTTAATATATACCAAGGCAATTGTCTTTTGGAAAATAATAAATTTATATTGAATACAACTTCTTAAATAAGACATTATTATGAATTGTTAGAAATATTAATTGATAGTTTAGAATCAAGTTCTGACCAATTCTTTTCAAGAGCCCAAAAGATTTGATTTTTTAATTATATAGTATTTTTTAGAATTTTAAATTTAAATTAGATTCAGAGCTTAAATTACTATGGTAATTTGCTAGTCTGCATCTTATTGTTTAAAATATAGAGTTTTTTCTTAAAAATAACCTTATGGATATAATAGTTACTATATCCTATAAGGTCATTTTCAAGACAAACACCCTATAATCTTTTTGATACAGTAAACTAAATATTAGTTTAGTATTTAATTTATAGATCAAAATAATATTTTTAAATAGCTAGTAAATTAATATGATAGTGCCTATAAATTTCAAAATATATATTTATTGATGTTAACAATAAAGTACTTATTTGACTAAATGGTATTGCTTTAACAATAAAGATTTAACCTTATTGGATGAATTTGTTCAAAATTGCAATTTGGGACTTAATACTGAGATTAATAAACTATAATATTATATAATACTAGTTGAAAATTTTTAATATAATAGGCCAATATTAAGGTGAAATGTATAAAATCAAAAATCATAAAATCGGATATAAGATATTCAAATAAATAGTATAATCAACAAAATATCAGCCTACAGATAGGCAGAAGTTTAAATGCATTTTAAATTAAAGTCCTAATAAAAACAAATATTATAATGAATAAAAAAATCTTCATAAAACTAACGATTGTTATTATAAGATAGATTAACGATTAATTAAATAACTTGATAATATTTATATGATTATATAAATTATCATTAAAGATCTAGATATTAAATGATATGTGATGATTAGAACGATTATTGTATGATTTTATTAATTAAACAATGATGATTACTAATTTAATTAATTATTTTTGTAAAACTTAATACTAACCGATATTATGATATGTACTTTATTTTTCTAATTTCGCTACTCAATAGTTTCAGTTTATTTAGATTTCTTGATGATATTTATATGACTATATAAATTATCATTAAAGATCTAGATATTAAA